TGAATGATTATATGAGTGAATGAATGAATGCACCAAACTATATAATGAATGACTCACTAAGTTCAGTACCCTGAACTCGTGATTCATAAAGCTGGGATTCCTCTTATCTTTCATGGCCCCTTACCTGAATTGTAACTCAGAACTCCTTTTTTTAAAATCCTCTCTTCTTTTTTGAAGGTCTTATTCAGTCACCTCCATTGTATATAACTATGTATGGTCGAACCTCAAATGTGTATCTCCCTAAATTAGCTGTCATTTTAAACTCAAAATTGTCAATGTCCGAGGCCTTGCATGTAGATTTCTTCTCTTTTGGGATAAGAAAGATTTATTTGTCTCTGAGGAGAAATAATATTCATTTGTAGAGAGTTGGAAAGTATGAAAACACATTTAGAGGAAAATAAACATTTTTATTTCTGCCATCTAACAATGACTATTTTATAAACAATTTGATAAGCATTTTTCTGATCTTTTAAAAATGTATATACACTGAGTGGCCAGATTATTATAATCTCTGAATGTCTGAATGCATAATAACCTGGCCACTCAGTGTACATCCTATATAATAAAAGACTAATAGGCAAATTGTCCCCTCGACCAGGAGTTCGACCAGCAGTCAGGCCGGCCAACCACCCATGTCCCTTCTCCCTGGCCAGGCTGGCTGGATCCCACCCATACACGAATTCATGCACTGGGCCTCTAATATATATATATATATATATTCGTGCACTGGGCTTCTAATATACTGAGTGGCCAGGTTATTATGCATTCAGAAATCATAATAATCTGGCCACTCAGTGTATAATAGACTTGACTTTTCATAAAATGGGGTCGTGCTATATGTATAACTTTGCACCCTGCAACTATCATTTTCTTGCAAACATTTCCATGCTATAATGTTTTTGATGGATGCATAGTATTCAGTTGCAGAGCAGAATTGGTCAAGCCATTCTTAGTTGTTGGGCATCTTTATTGGTATTCTTTCTTTGTACATAGGTCTTTGCGTTTCTGGATATTTCCTTTAGGATCCATTTATAGAACGAGAATAGCTGGATCAAAAAGGTTCGACTTTAAAAGAACCCTGTGTGTGTGAGAACCAGAATATCTTTTTTCAAAATATGTCCTCTGTGCTGGGCTTTTAGAAACGGGTTTATAGTTTGTATGGGTCAGCAATTCTCTAGGAAGAGAGAACCTGGCAGGACTTGTTTTCTAGCCGGCACTGTTGTCTGGTTTATGTTTTGTTTAATCTCATTGTGAACAGGTGTTCACCCACAAAGGGGTCACTAATCCAGGCACCTTGAAAGATCCGAGCCCAGCAGCCAGAGAGGGCTTTGGCACTGGGCATCTGGGCCACACTAGGTATCTGAACAGGTCAGCACTGCTGTTTTCTGGGGGAGGATGATATGATGTGGGGGTGAAAAGATGGAGGAACACAGGGCTCCTTTCTGGGCATCACATCTGTCTTTCCTTTGTTAAGTGCTCTTCCTTGACTCTACTTTGTGCTTTTATGTTCATTATCTCTATTCTGACTGTTTCTGTCATATATTACAGTGATTGATCGATTGATCGATTGATTATTGTGGCAAATATACATGACGCAAGATTTGCCCTTTAACCGTTTTTTATTTTTTTATTTTTTAAAATCAATCTTTATTCATATTATTACAAAGGTTCCTCATTTCTTCCCCCCTCCACCAGGTTCCCACCCCACCCTCTGCCCTTTCCCCACCCCCCATTGTCCTCATCCATAGGTGCACAGTTTATGTTCAGTCTCTTCCCGCATCCCCCCCTCCCCCCCAGAATTGTCAGTCCACTCCCCTCCTGTATCTCTGATTCTATTATAATCAACAGTTAATATTGTTCATCAGGTTTTTTAATTTCCTTTTTTTTTTAAATTAATAAACTTTTATATTTTTAAGAATCAATTTTAAAATCTAATAATTTTAAACCTTGTTTTTTCTGCCCTGGGAACTGAGAAGCAAACTTGTTTACATGTAAACTTGCCCTTAGGCTATCCAAAGGTGTAGCCATTCAAATGTAAATGGACACATTGTTTAAAGATAGCAGCTGGCTAGAATTGGATTACCTGTTCTGGGTGGGAAGGGCTTGTCTTCCCCTTTCTCCATTGAAATTAAGGTGTTAGCTTTAAAACCTCTTTTTGGTAAGAGACCTTAAACTTTCAGAACTTTAAATTTTTCAGGTAGTAAATCAGTTACTTAGTCTTTTCTCAAATCAATAATACCTCCACATGCCCAAGGATGCACTTCACACAAAAGACACTTCCAAATAGATCAACCAACCTCATCCAGACCCCACACAAGGCACTCACAGATCAACACCCCAGCACTATAATAACACATCCAGATCTAAGCCTTTATCACTTGATTTAGCAGACCCTCAAGTTCCCCCAAAAGTTTCCAGCCATGTCTGAGAGGCAGCCCTGGGGCATGGGCAGGCGAGGAGCGAGCTGTTCTGGGCCCGGCTGCTTCGGGCCTGGCCTCTGTTGCTCTGGTCCCCTCCACAACCAGCTGCTTCGGGCCTGGCTGCTCCCGACCCGGCTGCTCTGGGCCCGGCCCTGCCGCTCCGGGCCTGGCCGCTCCCGGCCTTTAACCGTTTTTTAAATAAAATATTTATTAATTTTTTTAAATCTTCACCCAGGGACACTTTTTCCATTGAATTTTAGAGAGAGTGGGAGAGAGAGGGAAAGACAAAGAGAAACATTAATGTGGGAGAAACACATTGATTAGTTGCTTCCTGCATGAGCCCTGACCAGGGCCCAGGCAGAGGAGGAGCCTGTAATCAAGGTATGTATGCCGTTGATCAGAATCAAACCCGGGACCCTTTGATCTATAGACCAACGCTCTATCCACCGAGTCAAACCGGCTAAGGCTAACCATTTTTAAAAAATACACATATATATTTTTATTGATTTTTTTTTTTTATAGAGAGGAAGGGAGAGAGAGAAAGCTAGAAACATCGATGAGAGAGAAACATCGACCAGCTGCCTCCTGCACACCCCACACTGGGGATGTGCCCGCAACCAAGGTACATGCCCCTGACCCGAATCGAACCTGGGACGCTTCAGTCCACAGGCCAACACTCTATCCACTGAGCCAAACCGGTTTCGGCTAGGCTAACCATTGTTAAGTGTACAGTTGAGCGATATTAAGCACATTCACATTGTTGTATAGCCATCACCACCATCTAGCTCCAGAACCTCTTACCATCTCATGTGGAAACTCTCACAATGACTTGTTTTTAATTGCGTTTACTACCAGACTGTGAGCACTTCAGGATGAGGAACAGCGTGTCCAGATCCCAGAAACGTGGTGCTGTCTCTGGCACAGAGGAGTGGGGGCTCGTGAGCGTTTGAAGGAAGAGGTGGCAGAACCACCTGAGGACACTTCTGAGGAGGGCCGTGTGTGGTGGCCATCGGCTCCTGGCTGTACTGTGTGGGGGTCTTTTCTGTCGCTCTTTGTGGCACCATCAGCCTCTTGGGCGTCCTGGCTCCAGTACCCCATGATGCTGTGGCTGAATTAAATGCACGAATGGTCTCTGCTTCATATTCTTTCAGCGGTTTCTGTGACAGTCATTGGCTCTTGTTAGGAGCTGGTTTTTATTATTGTTAATCTACGTTTTTATGCATACATCCTGCCTCCTTAGAGTATTAGCTCCTTGGCAGCATAGAGCTCACATGGAAATATTACTGCTGATGACTAATGACCTTCTTCATTGAAGCTAAGATGCCGTTGACAGTGTGACGGGCCAGTTATTTTCTGTCCCTCTGAGGAAGAAAAACAGGAAGAATAAACGCTGCCCCTTAACCCAGGGCACTCCCTTGGTTGTAAGGGCATGCTGATTTCAGATACCTTAGAATGTGAAAAAATGTCTTTGAATGAATATATCTCAGAAGATATGAAATCAATGCTTGATCAGATTATTGTGTGCCATTACGTGCATATTTGTGTTATGTGGAAGGTAAATAAGAACGTTTGTAAACATTACAGGAAATGGCCTTAAAATTTCATATTATGAAAACCCTGAATTAAATTCCCATAGATTCTCGTGTTGAGATTGTGACTCCCATAATTTTTCCTTTTGAATTCAGCACTATGTTCTTTCCTAAGGAGGCTTTCCTCATTTTATTTCACTCACGTTGCTTTCATATTTTTACTCTTCACTAGATTTTTCAGCTTGTTGTGGGTGTTTTTTTTTTTTTTTTTTTTTTTGGTGGGAAGCAGTGTTTCATGTGGGAAGGGTGATCCTTATTTTAAAAGCCTCACTTCATGGAACCTTCTAGAACATTTCCTTAGGATCCAAACATCTCAAGATTACCACAAAGTGACAGAAGCGATGAGAGCAGGAGTTGATGTCTCTGATGCCAAGTACGAATTCCCGTAGTGAACATGCATTTTTAGACCGGAGTATAAATATTTTGTGAAAGTGGCCCATTGGGTGATTATTACAGCAGCGGTTAGAGCTGCGGGCCCAGGGAATTCACACCAGCAGTTTACAGCCCCTCTCGCTCCGCTGTGCCTGGCCTTCGTGGACACGGCGTGACCTGCGGAGTCCGTCCTGCACTCCCGGGAGCTGCATTTCTCCGCCTGGACTGGCTGAGGAGAGCAGGACCAAGGAAGCCTGTTGGTTCTAACGTGTTTTTATTTTCCACGTAGGCTTCCTGATGATTCACACGCTCCCTTGCCAGAGCTTGACTCCTTTTATGCGTGATCTTGTGTAGACCCAGAACCCTGAATTCTTCCCTTTCTAGGCCATCTTATTAATCATTACACTAATAATTGGCATTTCTTGAAAGCTTGCCATGTGTTCGTTCAGTGGCTCTTGACCTTGGGCACATGAGACTCTCCTGGGACATTTTAAAATGCCAGCTGTCCCCCAACAAGTCAAGTTAGACTTCCCAGGAGTGGCAGCCAGGCATCGGTCATCTGTACAGCGAGTGCCCCAGGTGCTCTGACGGGCAGCCATGGGCAGCCCTTCCCGGGCATTATCTCATTTAAGCCAGTGACACCCCCCCCCCCCCCCAGGAGTATGTTCTTGTCCTTGTTTTATGGACGGAAACCCCGAGGACAGGAGGGATTAACCCGACATCAGTGGCGACGCCAACCCAGCTCGTCTGATTCCAGACACTGTTCTTTTAATACATATTACTTATGCCTGGGAGCCAGACGGTTTGATGAAAACAAAGCAGTTGAGTTCTGCAATATTTATAAAGGTAACTCTTCCGCATCGATTCAGGAAACACGTTTATAGTCCTGGCTGCTGGGCAGACATCTACGTCGTGTTCTTTCCTCTTGTAGTTGGCTCATGATGACATATCGGCTTTCCACTGGCGTGGGGGTATTTGCCCAATTGGCTTTTTATGAATAACTCAGATGGTCCCTGAATGATCCCCGTGACTTGTTATGTTTTGGGTGCTTTCTTGAGATTTGTAGTTACTGGAAGTTTGTGTTTGTGCGGGTGCGCGCCGCGCGCATGTGTGTGTGTGTGTGTGTACACGTGTGTGCGTGTGGAGAAAGCAGGTGTTATCATGGAACAAGTGGGTTTGCAGCTTAAGCCAGTGAAGTGTTCATCTGGGAGCTGTTGGCAGAGCTGCGGAGCTGGCCGTCAGCAGTCCCTGGGGCCAGCCTGGCGAGGGCACACCTGCCGCAGAGGCGCTGTGCAGAAGGGGTGCCAACTGCGCACTCCAGGAAAGGCCTGGGAAGGGAGGGGAAGGGAAGGAGAAGCAGCCAGAGGGGCGAGGAGAAATATTACAGGGAGAGGAGGCCTCTGATGTTTGAAGGGGAGAGATGAAGATGAGGGAGCAGGGAGGGTCCAGGAAGCCTGCATTCCTTGGTGCCGCGTTTGGGATTCAGGAATCAGGATTCTCAGAGGGGAAGATGTGTGTGTGTGTGTGTGTGGGGGGGGGGCTGGGGAAGGGAGGAAGGGTGAGGAGGGGTGCATCTGACCTTGTGGATGAAGGAATGACGGAACTATGGTGACAGAGAGGGGCTGAGCTGAGGGTGATGGGGGACCTCATGTGAGATGGTGCTGATAATTTCGGCAAAGCAGGAGAGATGGGTGATTTGATGAGAGAGATGGGGAAGGTTCAGTCCCAGGGGAGAGCAGGAGTAGAGCGGCTGCATGAGAAAGGGGATCGCTGAGCTGGTACATGCCCTTGGCCGGAATCGAACCTGGGACCTTTCAGTCCGCCGGCCGATGCTCTATCCACTGAGCCAAACCGGTTAGGGCAGCCTTGCCTTTTTTGACAGCTGAGTTGAGTGGTTTAACTATTATAAGTGACCGGCCGGCCTGGTTTGAGCATGTGGTGGGTCTTTTAGACATGCTTTAAGGGTTTTTGCAAGTTTGATAGAAATTTAGCTTTTGAATTTTTATATATCTCTATCTACCTGCACTTTTACTTGTAACTTAAAGTACAGTGTAGATACAGAAAGGCACTCTTACTTGCCTTGCCGGGTGAATTTGCAGACACCGAATACAGCTGTGTCACACCACTGAGATCAATAATCAGGGCTACTGGCCCCTGCAGAAGCCCACGGTGCCCCCTTCCACTCCCAAGCCCCTCCGCCCGAGGTAATCCTCGTCCTGACTTCAAGCTGAAGTGTTAAATTAGGGTATGCAGTCATGTCACACCCAGATCCGAACACAGCGGAGCCCACCGACGGTGAGACGGTGAGCGTATGCTGCTGGGAGCTTGTGTTTGTGTGGACCTTGTAGTTAAGACGGGCTCAGCCCTTGTCTTGGAAACGTGGCATTAGTTAGGAGGGCTGCGGCTTGGCACCGAGCGTGGACTCAGCTCTGTTCATCGCTCTCGTGAACTCGCACACTCGGCCCCCACTCCCGCCCGGGGCTGGCTCCGATGTGTGTGCTCGCTCCGGGTGACCCGCCCGCAGGCCTCGTAGGCAGTTCTGGAACCTGTCCCAGGTCCTGGTGCCTCCCGGGCCGCGGCCTTCACCCCAGGGAACACCCACGGTCGTTGGGTAACCTGAGGAACTCTCCATGCCGGCAAAGGTTCCCCGGTTCTCATCTGTCAAGCGTGAGCCTGAGGAAACTGGTGTCGTTGGCCTGCAGGTAGGTAGGTAGATGTATGGTAAAAGGATTGCCCCCATTAAACATATTGCGAGATTTCCCGTCCACATGAGGATTTCGGGTTTCTCTCGGAATGCCTGGAGCCCACTCTCCTGGGCTGGGCATGTACTGCCCTTTTCCCGGTTGCGTGCTCTTCATTGTGTGCGGCTCACTCCTCGGCCTTCTCTTTCGCTGGCCTGGGCAGAGGCCTGTTGAGGTGTCTTCCGAGGCTGCGCTAGTGAGGACTTGAAGAAACTTTGCAACTTCTTGCAAGTTTGACTCGGAGTTAAGCAGCTTATCTATTTCCCAGCAAATATATTGTCTACATGATGGATCACGAGCTTCCAGCTAGAATCAGCAGGCATGGTATTGCATTTTGTTACTTATCCTCTGACTTTTGTTGGCTAGGTCATTCTGTCACCTGGTTCAGGGTTTACTCATGGAGCGTATGACCCCGTCCGTTTGGAGACCAGGGGGGTCCGGAGCCCAGGGCCCATAAACTGTGTGCAGATCCCGCTTTTTCCATGTCGGACTCACAAAAGGCCTTTGCAGGCTCCTTACGCTCCAGCTTCCACGCGCTCGTTTGCGACATGGGGCGTCGGGAAATGAGGCGACACTGTGCCTGGAAAGTGTTAGCACAGAGCTTGGGTGTAGTGGCCAACCATAAGTACTAGTGACCATTGATGTGAATAGGATTTTTTATTTACGATTTGGTCTTTCAGAAATTGGTGAACATGGGGACCACAGTGGAATTCAGTGGAACGCACAGTGGTTCTCTATTGATGGACTTAAAAACAGGGAGATGGTGTGGAAAGGGCAGGCAGGTTTACATTTCTTTCATCCCTTTTGGGGTGAACACGTTGATACATAAAATTCAAGCGAAGAATTGCTGTGGTTTCCCTTCATCAGGAGACAGTGGAGCTGCCGGGATGGCTGGGGCTGGTTACCTGTCCTCATCAGTCGCTCTCCCCACACCACCCCGTGAGCCAGTGCATGCCACTGGTTCTCAGCTGGGCATGCCACCTGTGGGGGCACTCGGGGTCATTGTCAGAACACAGGGGACATTATAAATAGTGGGTGGGGTCAGGAACTCCAGAGAATGGGGACCTCTCGATGGCCTGCCTAGAGGGCTGCTGTAAGGCCTTTATTATTATTTTTATTTTTTTAAAGTTCAAGTTCTGTTTTAGAATATCTTTGGTTTGTGAGAGACTCTCCTCCTCCCTGCCCCTAAAAGGAGTAATTGTATCATGACAGAGAGTGGTTTAACATCCTCACTGAGGATGCCCTGTGTTCCTTATTTGAATAGTGTCAGTCATCAAGAGTCTTTTTCTCTTGGAGGCCACTGATTCCTCTGGAGAAATCAACCAGGCTTACATACAGCAGGAGAAAAAACCCACACACTTTATTTAAAGAACACATTATAACCAGTGTTTAAAAGCAGAGAAGAAAAACCTCACTCAGTAAATGGAGCAATGAATATAATGCTCTTTGGTTTCATATTCTCATGAGAAACCAGTTGGGGAAAGGGAGAAGATGAGAGGCAGATAAAAGCCCACGGATGGGGGAGAGGCTGGGAAATGATGGGGAGGGGTGGGAGAGGGACTTGGGGGAGAAGGTGTGGCATTTGTAAGCTCAGAGATGGGGGAACCAGCCAAACATGTTCTTTTGTCAAACCTAGACTGCAGATATATTTAAAAATTGCTACTCATATATTTAAAAAGAACCCTTTATTACCTTATTTAGAAATTGGTCTGACCTGCCCTGGCCAGTGTGCTACAGTTAGTTGAAGTGTTGTCCTGTGTTCCAAAGGGTCACGGGTTCGATTCCCAGTGAGGACACATATTATACCCAGACGGTTAGATCTCTGGTTGGGATGTAAACAGAAGGCAGCCGGTCTGTGTTTTTCCCTCACATCCATGTTTTCCTCTCCCCCTTCCTTTCTTTCTCTCGAAAAGCAATAAAAGATGTCCTCAGCGGAGGATTAAAAAAAAAAAGAAAAAAATTGGTCTGACTTAAAGGATGATTTTAATACGGGCAGAAGAGAACATGTTACCGGTCTGGTTTTAAAGTGGGGACGGTCTTCTCTGGCTGGTGTGGCTCAGTTGGTTGGGCATCATCCATTCAGTAAAAGGTTGCTGGTTCGATTCATGGTCCAGGCACATGCTGGGTTGCAGGTGTGCAGGAGGCAGCTGATTGATGTCTTGCTCTCACATTGATGTCCCCCCCCCCCCTTTCTTTTTCTTTAAAAATCAGTAAAAACTCTTAAAGTGGGGATGGTCAGAAATCACAGCCGTTGGATAAGATGGCACATGTGAGTTAATGCTTTAAATATGAATTGTACTTTAGATGCATAAAGTTGATGGATGAGGTACAAACATAGAACACCAAAAAGTCTCATCCGTCTCAAAAGCAAGTTAGCCACCTCTGTGGACCAGGAGTGGACAGAACTGGATAGCTACCTCTGTGGACAGAACTCTGACTAGTTAGCGAGGTCAAGGTCAGCTTCTGCCAGGCAGAGGGGCTTGATTTGGAAAATGCAGCTGAGAGTTGAACACACAGATGCTCACAGCGCAGAGGCAGTGCCCCGAGGGCAGCTGTCAGGTGTTACAGAGCTAGTAACACCCTTTTGAGAAGCTAAGGCCCTGGGACTGAGTTAACATGTGCATTTCTAGGTCCCACCCCCTTAAAGAGTCTGGGGAGAGGCCTGGAAACCCCTAGTTTTAAGAAATTCTCAGGCGATTCTGAGAGCAGGACCACCCTGAGAATCACCACGCTAGTCTAACGCAAAACCAGCTTTAGGGTAATAAGAGCTTAGTACGGTTAAATCAGGTCAAGGGTGTTTAATTTGTCCCTAGGAGCTTTTGTTTTTGAGCCCTTGAACTGATTTTCTTTCTTTCTTTCTTTCTTTCTTTCTTTCTTTCTTTCTTTCTTTCTTTCTTTCTTTCTTTCTTTCTTTCTTTCTTTAAAAAAAAAAAAAAAATATATATATATATATATATATATATTTTTTTATTGATTTTGTACAGAGAGGAAGGAAGAGAGATAGTTAGAAACATCGATGAGAGTCATCGATCAGCTGCCTCTTGTACAGCCCCTACTGGGGATGTGCCCGCAACCAAGGTACATGCCCTTGTCCGGAATGGAACCCGGGACCCTTCAGTCCCCAAGCCGACGCTCTATCCATTGAGCCAAACTGGTTTCGGCTGAACTGATTTTCTTAAAAAAAAAAAAAAAAAATGGTTGTGAAATACATATAACCTTTAATTACTCTTTTAACCATTTTATTTATTTATTTATTACAATATATTTTATTGATTTTTTTACAGAGAGGAAGGGAGAGAGATAGAGAATTAGAAATGTCAATGAGAGAGACACATCGATCAGCTGCCTCTTACACACACCCCAACCGGGGATGTGCCCACAACCAATATACACAATGACCGGAATCGAACCCGGGACCTTTCAGTCCGCAGACCGATACTCTACCACTGAGCCAAACCGGTTTCGGCAACTCTTTTAACCATTTTGAGGTGTGTAACTCAGTGACATTAAATACATTCACAATGTTATGCAAGAACTCAACTGTCTAGTGTTGGTAGTGGATATTTCATGTACAAGTGGAATCACCATATGTGCTTTTGGAGCTGATTTTACTCAGCGCAATGACTTCAGGCTTCATTTGTGTAGAAGCGTGTATCAGTACGTCATTCTCTGTTCTGGCTGAATCGTGTGTCATTGTACAGAGATAACACATTCGGTTTATCCATTCACTAGTTAGTGGACATTTGGGTTGTTTCTACCTGTTGGCTATTGTCAGTAGTGCTGCTGCCATGAACATTCTTGCGCACATGTTTGTTTGACTGTCTGCTTTCAGTTCTTTTGTGTGTACACCTAGGAGTGGACTTCCTGGGTCCTGTGGTGATTCTGTGTTTTAACTTGTTGAGAAACTGCTATACTGTTTTTTTGTTTGTTTGTTTTTTTTAAATATATTTTATTGATTTTGTACAGAGAGGAAGGGAGAGAGATAGAGAGTTAGAAACATCGATGAGAGATAGACATCGATCAGCTGCCTCTTGCACACCCCCTACCAGGGATATGCCCGCAACCAAGGTACATGCCCTTGACCGGAATCGAACCCGGGACCTTTCAGTCCCCAAGCCGACGCTCTATCCATTGAGCCAAACTGGTCTTGGCTGCTATACTGTTTTCACAGCAGCAGCAGCATATAACCAGAGGACTCTGCTACTCCACATCCTACCTACTACTTGTTTCTTTCCTATTTTTTAAAAAATATATGCTTTTACTGATTGATTAATTTTTTTTTTTTTTTGGAGAAGGAGGGGGAGGGTTAGAGATAGAAACATCAATGATGAAAAATATCAATCGATTGCCTCCTGCACGCATCCCACTGGGGATCATGTGCCCTGACCGGGAATCCAGCCGGTGACCTCTTGGTTGATGCCCAGCCATTGAGTCACACTGGCCGGGCTATTATATTTATTTATTCGTTTTTTAAATTAAGGCCATCCTAGTGGGTGTGAAGTGCTATTTCATTGTGATTTTGATTTGCATTTCCCTGGTGATGAATGACATTAAGAATCTTTCCGTGTGCGCGTTGGCAAATATATTGCTTTTAAGTTCAGATTGGCTCAGATGGGGGTTATTTTCTCAGTTCAGGGTAGCAGTTTTGTGCGTTGTGCCTGGTGCTGGCGGCAGACAGAGCAGGGTTGTAGTCCTGGCTCCGGCCAGGCCCTGGGTGGACTAGACCACGTGGGCCTGCCCTTCCCGCGGGTGAAGGGCGATGACAGCACCTTCCCCGTGGGGCTCTGTGAGAATGGAGGGGGACACGGAAAGCACCCAGGTGCGGAGTGAGCACCCTGGAGCTGTTGTCATCATCGTTGCCACAAAGGAGGAGATCTGTCATCATCTCCGAGCTTTTTCTTGTGTGTCGGGCGTGCTCAGCTGCCTCAGCTTCCCCAGCGGCTGAGGACAGAGAGCCTGGAGGGGCGCCTGGCTGCCCATCTGCTCTCTGAGGCTCCAGGGAGCCACTGCCAGGTTGCTGGAGCTCCTAGGTCTTTTGTATTCCCTGCTGGAGTTTTCCCACATCAGCCCCACCCTTCAACTTAACTTTTGCAAGTCAGGAGTGAGTGTGCTAGCAGCACGGTGCCTGGGGAAGCCCGTTGCTGGGAAGGTTCCGGACCCTCCTCAGGCCTCCCCACGGGCCTAAGCACCCTTAACCTGGTACAGAAAGGGTCCTCCTCGGCAGCACCCGGTGTGGTCCAGACGCAGAGCTGACCCCAGGCACTAGCCCCCTGCCCCTGTGGATTTAGTGTCTGAGATGTTATTTTTACTGTATCATTTTTAAAAATATATATTTTATTGATTTTTTTTTTACAGAGAGGAAGGGAGAGAGCTAGAAACATCGATGGGAGAGAATCATCGACCAGCTGCCTCCTGCACACCCCCCACTGGGGATGTGCCTGCAACAATGCACATGCTCTTGACTGAAATCGAACCCGGGACCTTTCAGTCCAGAGGCCGACGCTCTAGCCACTGAGCCAAACCGGTTTCGGCGACTGTATCATTTTTTAAAAATTACTGTTTAACACACCCCAAGTTGGTTAAACAGTAATTTTAACTGTGTTGAGAAGCAATGAGCATGGTTTTCAAACTAGGGAGGTTTTTTTAAGGTATGGATTCTTGTTTGCCGTGTGATTGTGAAGACATTTTTGCATAGCTATTCAAGAACCATAATCTAGAAATGCCCCTTGTAAAATCGAGGGTGCAATTCAAGACCCGCTTCCCTAGAGAGGCAGCATAGTGGTGTGGAGAGAGCAAGGGGTCTTGGCGGGGGACAGATCTGGGGTCAAATGCTGACGGCACCAC